GAGTAGTAATCTGTAGTTTTCAATTAATTGCCGACTGATCCTCAAGCACACACCGAAGTCACAGCGTAAAACTAAACATGTTGCAAAGAATGTAAAGGCATAGGTACAGAGGCATGTTTAACGTTACTCCGGTAGAACTGAGTTTCTGCTCAAATCACTTTCAGTTCCATGCCATTATGGATGAATTATCACCCTGGCTGCCGGCAGGTTCTCTATGAAACTCTTCATGCTTTCTCATTCCATTGCTGATCGAGTAATTCGAGCACCGGATCGTACCAGCGCCTTTTGTGACGATAACTTATGAGATCACTGTGGTCAAATGGAGTTCAATTCGTAATACCTTTCGTTCGCCGGTCGTGCTATAGGAGAACCACATCGCCGGATCTTTTTATCTTATTGTTGTACATAGCAGATAATACATCTCTTAGTCCAGATACATATAATTGGAACGTAATCTTAACTTCACTGCTCTCTGCATAACCATGACCTTGCTTTCGTCGGCTCTTGTACAACATATGCAAAACTTCAAAGTACTTACAGTGTACAGATATATAACTACAATAGTACTGCAGCATAGCATTACAGAAATGATCATAGTACCGTAGCAAAATAACAGCTTTTTCTTATTTTCCCATGCTTACAACGAGGAAAGTGTAGCTTATCGCAGTAAGGAACCCTGTCCAATAAACCGATATATGTTACAAACAACAATGCGCTTGACTACATGTTCCATGGTCTGTCTACGGCTCGCCATCACGAACGTCACCATGGGATGTGTATTAGCTCAGTTGTCTAAGTGATCTGCTTCGCACACCATAGATGCGGGATTCGATTCTACTCGGGGCAATCTTTGTCTTATTCACGAATTCCTCTGAACAAGGAATTCGCCACACATTGCTTCAGACCAGGGTTGCTCAGTCGGTAGAGTGTGGAAACGGGAACAGATACGTTATGACTTCAAACCCGGTCTGGGTCAGTTGCTCTTTTTCCTTCTGAGGTTAATAAATGAGTACCACTCCGTGCGAAGGAAACAACAGACTAAACGATACGCTTGCAGCGTGGCTGTAAACTCTGCCTTAAAAAATAAGGCACTCCTGGTTAATGGCACAGAAACGAAGATTAGCGATGCACATCAGCTTCATTAAATAAAGCGCCAAAATGGCCTAATCACGTTGTCCAACTTTCCTTTTCCTTTGATTTCCACGGTGTGATAACTGCGACAGCTGTGTGGTTGCGCGAACAGACAGTTTTCACGAATACTTCCTTTCATCTTATTGTCCATCATTTGAAACGGTCCGTTTCTTTTCCCATACTGCTTAGCAGCCATTATTTGCATAACCGTATAGATTATTATGCAGATGGGTGCATGACATCCTTGTTATGCAAAAATATATTTCTGTGTATTTCAACGTCTTGCTCCATCGTCGCAAAAAAAGAACAGTCCTAAGCTTCAACCTCAATGCAGTAATAACTTCCTACTGGCTCTAAAGTGACCCCACTGTTTAAAAATCTGTTGCATTGCTGGCTGTAGGCATCATAAAGGGAAAAAACATCGCATCATAATCTGTTCCTTCCATAAGAGCAGACCATCTATGAAAGAAGAGTGCCCGAAACAACGTAAATGTCTGAAGTGTAAAGACCGAAATTCGAAAGGTTACAAGGTTACAAACATCCCTTAATGTTTTTTGCTCTGTAAATATCAATCAAGATGCCATCTATTTTGACTTTGTGAACCAGAACGTTGGCAAAAATTGCAATAAACACGTTCGGAATTGCCTGGCCATCGCAATCACGTGCAGGCATCGAAACAGAAAGCAAGAGCCGCGAAAAATGCCTCCAATTACGTTTCTACCTAACCGCAGAAAACCACAAACTCTTCGCGATATCTTACATTACCGAACAGCTGTTCTAGTAAAACAGAAACTGAGTGAAAC